AAATAATAGTCAAACGGGTTGAAAACGAAATTTATTGATTTGAAAATTATAATATTATAGAAATGAATATAATTATACTATATCAAATGAACTATGGGTGGGTACTATTAAATGAAAATTTTAAACTCTTAATCCAAAATTAACTATAAAATCTATTTTATTATTTTTTATAGTTCGTGCATCATATATAGGAAATTTCTGAACTTCAACATTCACTTAAACATTCCAGTCAACATTTTAAAATTTATGATAAATTGTTTGAATTCATGTTGAAATTATGTATACATTTATAATATTTTTCAAAAGTGCTTGTATATGCAATTCTGAATTTTAATGCGTATGTACATAAAATTTAAAATGAGAATTTTTTTTAGTGCCATACTCCTTAAAATCCTATATAAAGCATATACAAAATAATTTTTTTTTTTGATTCCGCCATAAATCTTATGTTATCTAATTTAATTAAGAGATTTCCGGCATAATATAGTGTTTTAACCTAATCCTGTTAATTTATATAAAAAGAGGAAATACAAACAATTATTAGGGTAATAATACATTACAAATTTGATTTAAAATTTTATAGTAATTTATGCAGAATACTTAAATAATATGTACATATGTATGTATGTGTTTGTAAATGATAATATTTACATATCCGATCTTATGTGTAACTACTTAGGCACTCATTTCTTCTTTTCAAATAATAATTTTATATTGTGATTCTTGTCTCTTGTGAATAAAATTTCAGAAATAGGTTCATATTTTAGAATCCAACTATATGCACATGCCAACTCACCATATTTTTCATACTTATACACAAATATATTATATAACTATAATATGTTGAGAATAAAAAACTCTTTTTTTTTGAATATATAGCAGAAAATTAAATTATAGCACACTTACCTTTTTTCCTCTTTATCTCATATATGTTATTATGTACGCCATCTGTGAATATTTTGAATGTGTGCTCATATGGAGAGAAAACTAAACTGAACTATCTAAATATCTTATGAAAATATTATAATAATTACAGAATGTGAAAAATGAAAAATTAGAAAATTGCAAAAAAAAAAAAAAAAAACGGAACAACAAATACAAATTCATTCTGTTTTTAAAAGAGGTTGGTGTATGATGGCATGACATAAACTCATAAAAAGGAGTTTTTTTTTACTAAACTAAAACTAAAAGGTTATAAGAGAAATTAAAACGCGAGAACAGCAAAACAAAAACGAGACGTCAACCCAACCACTCATTTATTTCTATAATTTACATTGTACTTGTAACACTTATACATGTATATGTGTATAAGTATGAAATATACAATTATACCTACATATAGCGTTCTGTCTAAGTGTACTAAAAAATTTTTTATTTTCTATCTCTTTATACGTTTTCATTAATTTTTTATCATAAAAAAAATTTTAATATTAATAATTTCGTTTTTATAACTAACCACTTTTAGATTTATGTATGTACATACAAACATTCTTCGACTCTTTACTTTTTTCATTATTATTATCTACTCCTGAAAAAAATAGTAAAAATAGTAAATATTACTGTAAAATTATTATAAAGCAGCAAAAATATTCACATGACGTTTATTTTTTATTATCAGAGCAGTCAAAACTTTAAACAGCTTGAACGACTTTTAATTATTTGGTGAAACTTTTAAGTTATCGTAAATTTTCCCTATGCATTACTATAAAATCCGCTTGGAGCGTCTTTTTAAATATATTTCAAAATAAATAAATAATAAAAAGTCTTGTAAAGTTCCTTGAATTCTTTGTATTCAGAATATTTTTTGTTACATTTAAAAAAATATATTTCGTAGCAAATTTACAAATATAGTGGCTAAATTTGAACAGTCAGGCATTCAAGTTATACTAATATGGGTATATGAAGAACAATTCAGAACTATAGATTGCTTTTGGATGTAAAACGGGCTGTGTTATTGATTGTACAGAAACTCTACGCAGGCTTTGCCATAAAACGAGTAAAATTCTGTGTAAGCGGTTAGTTCTATACATTCAACATGTTTTTATTGAACAATTAATGAAAAACGTAAAAATATTAATGCTTTTAAAAACCTATGGTATATTTTTATCCCGCGTGTATTTACCCAAGGGTATTATAATCAAAATTCTTTTAAATTAGCTCTATTTTGTGGAAATTTGGATATAGTTCTGCCTTGTGGAATTAATTTTACTATTTTTATATTGTGGTCATTTTCCATAGCTAAACTCATTACAAATGACTATAGCTTTTGCCATCCCTGATATATGCCATGTGTGCTTAGTACAATTTATATGCATTTTTGTATGAAAAATACTTGTGTTTGTACATCATCACAATAAATGGAAGTATGTAACGTTCCATAATAATTATAAACAAAAAATTATTAGAATGTCACTTTATAAATCAACATCTAACAGCCCATCATCATTACCATTGAGCTTCTGATATGTTCGTTCCTTTTATAATGTTTTATAATATTTCACATACACAATACCTATATAATGCATATAAATATTATATTCAAAAACATACATACATATTTTATAACTATACCAAAATAAGATGTGAATTTTTATGAGTTTTGTGCTTCTGTCGCACCCCTTTTTATTATTTTCACGTCATATTTTATAACAAAAGATAATGTTATACATGTGTGTATATTCAAAACTGCTACTCTATTTCATTAGAGACAGCAAATTTGATGGAAGTCTTTTTTATATCCATGCTCATTTTACACCCATACATACAAATTTACATATATTGTGTGATAAGAATACTGACTGACTGACTTTACTTTTTTTTATTTTTCCTTATTTTTCACCTAATTTTTTAATTTTATATTTTTACTTCTTTTCTTTAATATTCTTAGAACACGAATTTTTAAAGAACTAACTAAAACATATTTATATACATATTAATGAATAAGTATGTATAGGTATAATACATAGATATAGTGTTGTGTGTAAATTATATATAATAATATTTAACTGTTAATAATTGCTTCTCCTTTCATTCTCTAACTGTTTTAAGCTCAAAAACTATAGTTAATGTCTAAATAAATTATATATTATGTATTCTACTATAGAATGATACCTACTTATCACAATTATACCTATGCTATGTATATATCATGTTCCATATATTTATGTGTATGTAGGTATGTACATGTTTACATATAAGTATGTATATCAAAGAAATATTTTATATCTTATGCCATTGTACCCTTATTATCTTTCCATCCTCTATTAATACTTACAAGTATTTATAGTATGGTAGTAGTAAATGCTGGTTTCGCGATTTAGCTATTAAACAAACACGAACTATATGTACTACGTGTATTAAAATTGAATAAGGAGACAAAAAACCGCCTGTAATAAGAAAAACTTGAAGTGAAGAATATCTTAAAGACAAAGAAAAAAAAAGAAAATAGTTAAGAAAAATGCTATAGTGAAAAACTCTTAAGAAAATAATATAAATTTTAATTTTGAGAAATAGAAATAAAGAAAGCAAGAAATGAAATGTTTATTAATGCTGAAAAGAAGATTCAAGTACGTATGAAAACGGTGAAGGAAAATTCATATAAAAAGATGTGAAAAGTAACCAGACAAAATTAAAAAAAAAACAAAACGAAGGAAATATGAAAACATTATAGTTGGTTTGATACACACACATTAGTATACACATAGAGCTGTATACATATATCAATATATTTTTATTGGTTGTTGGGTGGGTACACAAATATACACATATATGGGATAAAGCAGTAAAATATCAAACCGAGTAATAAAATATGGTAACAGATAAAATGATCAGATGATAATGGTTACAATTTTCAAAAGATGATGATTATACCATTACACTATCTGTCATCAATATCAATGTCATCATCATCATCATGTTCATCATTATTATCAATATCATATATTTAAAACAAAAGTAAAAATTTTGCCAAACCAAGTTGAAATAAAATGTTAAAAATTTGCTTTTCATTCTTTTCTCTAGCCTCTGTTTTATATTTTTCTTTTATTTTTATTTTTTTTTTTATGTCTCTTTGGCTCATGGATATGACGCCTTACGAATGCAATTTATTTATACATATACATACCTATATGCAAATGTAACTATGTATGTATGTACATATGAAAGTGTTTTATAAACCAGTAAAACTTTAATATCTTACTAAAAATGTACTTTATATGTTGCAATATTGTAAGTAGGTATATAAGTAGGTATATCAGTGTTAAAAAAAAATAGACACGACAGTAAACAAAGAAGAATACAACAGAATATTAAAGCAGAAAAAAAGGAGGAAAAATTATAATAATAAAAAAAAATGAAAGACAAAATGAATTAAAAAATAGCCTGAATCTGATCTGGTCTTATTTTGGTCTGCATTTCATACTTTATAATCTAACTTTCATAATATACATATGCATTTAAATAGGCATGTGTATGTATGTACCTACATATGTAGTTATTATGCTCCTCAACTTTACCGTATTGTTTACATTTCATTCGCAATACTCAATATTAAATTGTGGATACCAGATGTTCTGAAATTCTGAAAGAATTTGCTGGTAACATGATCAAAAATTGTTTGTTCTACTCGCGAGCTATAGACAATTTCTGTAAACTTTTCTATCTAAAAATATACATAATTGGTAGGATTATCATTACGCCAAGGTGTATGCTATAAATTGTTCAATGTTAAGAGAATAATGTCAGTAACAATGTTTTTAAACTCAAATTTTAGTTTAAATATAATATAAATATGACCATATATTAAGAAAATTGTGCAGGATTAACAATTGGTAAAAATTATTATCCCAAGAAATCACAAAACTTATTGAGAAAGTGTACTCATTTGAGGGAAGAGTAATAAATTTAAAAAAATAATAAAAAAAATTGTAAGAATAAATTTAAAAATTTTAAATTTGCATGTTAAATTTTGTTCTAATTCTCTTTTTTACTCTTTTCTTTTCAGAATATAAAAGGTGTTGTTTAAAAAAAGTAAGTACCTATATACTCTTATACTTAAATAAAATATTCGTAAATCATCTGGCAACTCAAAAATTAAATAAATTCATTTTTCAACTGGAATAAATTCATTTTTGCTTTGCGTATTTTTTTCTTTTTTGCCAAGAATGCATATATGTATACCTACACACTTCTATAGACACATAAAGTACATTTACATTTACAATACTATTATTTTGTTCTATTCTGTGTCCGATTTAAGATTCAAGGGAGTTTACTTACTCATTACAGGCAACCGGGGTCTTAAAATTCTTATATATATTTTGTTTTTTCTTTGTTATATTTTATTACCATTGTTGTTTTATTCTTTTTTGTTGTTTGTAATACCCTTCTGTATTATTCTCTTTCTGTCGTTAATATCAACATAAATGAATTCTTTATCAGTTACTTCTGGTCTATTCTGTTTTATTCTGGTACTGCTTGGTTCTATACTCAATTCTACCTCTGTTCACTCTGTTTCAGTCATTTTATTCCCTATTTATTTTATGTATAGCGAGTAGAGAATTACGTTAAAAAAAAAGAGAAAAAAAAGCCAAAACTTGAACGGTACATACAGTAAAAGACTATTTGAGCATTTTCTGTATTTCTTTTGTATTTTGTAAATGGTTTAAAGCTGTAAAAAGTTTTTTTTTTTGTATTTTGCAAATTTCTGAATTTTCTGTTGTTTGATTTTTCTTATTTCTTTGTGTTTGCATTTTTTTACTGTTCATCTGTTAGTTCTTTTCTTATTTTTCATTTTTTCATCTTATTATAGTTATTTTTGCTGTTTTGGTTGTGTTGTTGTTAATTCTGTTTTTTTTGTTTTTTTTTTTTTAATTTTTTTCACATTTCCGTCTCCCTTTGGGTCTTCTCTATGTTGGTTTTCGTCAACAAGGAATCATACAGTTCAAAGAGAGAAAATTAATATGAAATAAAAAACAGTTACCATAATAAAGGTATTAAGTATATAGTGAGTGCTGTCGTTTTACTTTCTACATATATGGGGGAGCAATTTTTGTTTTTTATATCGCCTGTGTTTGTTGTTATCATGTCAAATGTGTAGGTATTTAAAACAACATAAAAGAGTAATGATTTTTTATTTTTTTAATAGTTGCACTCTCATTAATTAAAACTAAAAGTGAAATTTTAAAAACAAGTGTAATACACTTTATATGTATGCCTGTATATGCGTGCAAATATACCTATGTGTGTCTGCACTTGAAAAAGTCGAGACATAAATTAATATTAAATGTCAAAATATTTTATCATTTTCAAAAAATATAAAAAAAAAATTTTAAAAATTAATCAATACTTAAAAATTAAAAGTGAAGAGATGAGAACAGTTTAAATGCGATGAAAGAGATCCTTTGTTTTTTTTGGTTTCACAATAATTTTAAATAGAAACTATTTATTACTTATTTTGTGGTACTAAAATGAATGCTTTATACTATAATGTAGTTACAAATTCAAATAAATAATTAAAAAATTAAAATAAATAAAGTACCCAGACTATTTTAAGTTTGTCATTAAAACGTAAGTATTATTTATTGATATTTAGCAATGAAAGGTGTGAATATTATGAAGTGTTAATAAATGTTAATAAAATGGATTGATTAAGTATATGAATAATTATGCTTTCATCTTTCACTTTTCCGTTTAAATTATAATTTATTATTGACATAAATTTTTATAATTGGTATGTAAATTACAAGTTGTTTGCCCTGTATTATATAAGTATGACATTGGAAATAGTTTTAATACGTAAAATGTTTATATTTTATTATGTCACACTATGATATTTATAAATATAATAATGAATGCTTACTTATAAATTATAGATTAATATTAATAAGCATATTTTTTCCCTACATATCCCATTGATTTTTCACGCAAAAATCATGCCAAAAATGTAAACGATATTATTAGGGAGGCAATCATATTTTTATTAGCATAAAAATGATCGGTGTGTGATCGGAGATTATCAGATCGATAATCTGGCGGGGTTTGTGTAACTGTAGAAAAAGATTTATGATAGCAAGATTCTATTTTTATTATTCTTTCAAAATAATACTTTGTACTACCTATTTTTGGTAATACACTTTTAGGGCAAAAATAAAAATTTAAAGATGTTTCTACATTGTTATTCAATTATAAGAGAGTTATTAAGACGGTTTATTATACATATTTATAATTTTAAATAAGAAGATATCCAGTGTTACTTGTAAGACTCAAAAATTTTATTCAATTTCGTTTAAATTTGTATAAGCTTTAAAGAAGTAGAATTCGGAAAATTGAAATTTTTTTCTAATTTCCATAAAATAATTTGAAAAAGAGTGTGGTAGAAAAAAGAACCTGTTCTAACGGGTTCAATTCTTATTCAAATTATCTTCCATTCACACAATATGCATTTATGTAACAATTTATATACTTAACAATTTGAATATTATGTTCTACTTTTAAATTATTTAAAAATTTTCAAAATATTGCTAAATAATTTTGTAATCTAACCTTGAATACATGAAACTATATAAAACAGGTGAAACTCTTGTTAACATATTTGTCAGAAATTCAAAACGAAGCTATAAATAAAAAAAATATTAAGTGCATCAAAAATACACCCTTGTCACATTTACACACATAATTATATAAAAAGTTTTTATTACAACATTACTGACCTGTTACAATTTAGAACTTTTACCTTTTTTTAAAAAAAAAATGTTTATTCTAGGTCATCTTGTTTCTATTTTTTTGCTATAAAACCAACCTATAAAAAATTCATTAGAATATTAGGTTTTGCACACTAATTTAATATTCATCAAAACATACCTACTAACTCACTATATTTTGTAGTATATTTTTGCTTTTCTATATCAATCCCGAAAAAATTATCATAATAAAAATATACAAAAATAGATTATTTAACATATACAAACGTATGCATATACGTGCTTATAAAGTAGTAAAAAAAAATATGTATTTATTTTTTCTTTTATTAAAATTATAGTTCTAAAACAATTTTTTTATGATGGCTACTACTACATACTTATATAAATTTAATTAACATTTTAAATGTTGACTTAATTAATTTCATATGCTAATTGAATATTAAAAAAAACTAAAGTGGCTGGCACGAAAAGCAATTTTTTTTTTTAAATAATAGAAAAACTTTTTTAATAATTTTAAAAGTATAATTGTAGAAATTTAATTTTGTTATAAAAAAAATTTATTAATGTTTAATTTATGGGTGATATGCGAAAATGAGAAACATTTTTCCAAAATACTATTATGAATAAAAAGTAATTTTCTAAGTTTTTTATTTCAAAAGATTCTAAAAAAAAACGTGTTGTATTCAAACTTTCTACAGAATTATGAATTTATAATAAGCAAAAACTAGATATATTTTTTGCTATTCTTTGTTATTCAACTTTATAGTTGATAATTTCATCATATTTCCATCAAATTCTAGTGTATATAAGGATTATTAGTTAAGCGAATATTAGAACAATCTAAAAAGTATCAAAGTTTTCATATTTGTTTAAAAAATAATTAAAAAATTTTGGCGCCTTGACAGTAATTAAAATTTGATTAGAATATAATTAAATGTTTTAATTAAAATATAAAATTTCAATCGATATAACAGCAGTTGCCCTTACAATATTGTTCAGAAATCGCTAGGTAAAATTTATAAAACGTTGGCTTTCTTGAGAAGTTGCTTGGTGATTTTATTAAAAATCTTTTAATAAAAGTAGTTTTGTATAGCTATGTGATGAATAGGTCATAGTAGACATGATGGTGTTCTTTACTTTTGAAAACTAATAAAGATTTTTAAAAAATTTTATAAATTAAAGCCTTTCGTCTCCATACTGAATCAATATGGGCAAAAATTTTAAAGTTCCGCCCCATCAAATTGCTTCAAAACGTGATTATTTGAAGTAATCTTATAGTTTGTGCGAATGTTGACAAACTAATAAAAAACGGGTTAATAAAAATGATATTCCTAAGATGAATATGCAACTTTTATATAGTTTTTATATTTATGGCAGCAGTCCGTATTATTAAAAACAAAGTATGTTTTAAATCTGCTGCTATTAACTTGTCTACATTTCAAAAACGAATTTTATTGAATTGTCACTGGAATGTTACACGTTGCAAAATTTTAATTTTATAAGATATTTACTGAATACACAACCTTTGTTTCATAAAAATTATCAATTCGGAGTATCACAACTCCAATTCATATTTAATCGTTAAAGAAGATTATATGCATTTCAATTATTTTTAAAGTAACAAAGTAAAATGCTAATACAATAAAATGAGAAAAAATAAAAAAAATTTATTTACCACTGAACACAGAATTTATTATTAGTTTGAAAAATAATAATATAGAAAACAAAAAAAAAGCAATAAAATCAAGAATTAAAAATTTTATGCATTTTCCTTATATATACCTACATTTTGAGTGTAGACAGCAGCTCCGATGATCACGGACAACAAAGCGCTGCTATTCCATTCGTTTACAACACAGAAAATCGAAAAAAAAAGAATAACACTTTGAATACATAGAGAAAAATTATTCTCTATGTAATAAGAACATTTGCATTGCACTTTTTTTTTCATATTATAATTTTGTGCTACACAAACAATAATATTCAGTCAGACTACCGTTATACTCGTAACTTCAAACTTAAAAATCCATAGTCTATGCACTTATTTAAATTTGTATGTATCGTTGTGAATACTCGTATTTGTATCGCTACTTCTTCACCGTTAACATGTTCCTATAGCTTTGCAAGTACGTATGTATTGTAAGTATATGTATATGTGTATGTACGTATGTATGATTGTATGCAATATTATTTTCTTTATGTACATATGTACATACTTTGTGCATATATGGTATGTGTATGTTATATATTAAGTAGATACGTTCTATTCTATGCTGGAATGACCAATTCTTAAGAATATCGCAATATTGCAAAACCGTATTAAATGAA